TTCGACGACAGATTCGGCAAGTTTGTTTCAGGGTACCCCCACAACAGCACAGTGGGTTACCAGGAGCAAGTTGTTGTTGAAGGCACTGTATTTGACTTCGGGAAGTCACGAACTACACGCTCTGGGCGCAGGCCTCCCCTTGTTTGCATCAGAAAACCATCTTGAACCATCAGCCCGGAAAGTCACTCTTTCAACCCTTTCCGAACCCTATTACACCCTGTTCGCGAAGCCCGGCCTTGGCAATCACGGTGTCGTTTTCGGAACGCAACCGATCCACCTCCTCGGAAATCTTCTCATACCTCAGCCATTTCTTGGGTGCTGGCAGTGCAGACAATGGCTCCGTTGTTGCTTCCGTGTTTTGGGGGCTTGGGAGCTTCGGGCTCGGCAGGCTTTGAAAGGCTTAGGGTTCCTAGGCCTAAACGCCAAATCCTAAACCCTATGGGCAGGGCGCTGCTGTCAGAGGCGAAAGGACGAGAGCCTTGCATCTTGGCCCTCAGAGCCTCACTGGACATCCCTAAAAAAAGCTGTACCTATCGTCTTCGTTGTAGTTTCGCCTTTTTGTTTGGTTTGGCGTTTACCAACTTTATATCAAGGATCCTATAAGCTAACCCCCAAAAGGAACTACAATGGAGACTGTAGGCAAACCTTGGAATCACTGGGAAAGTGGTCACCATCGCGCTGCCGAAGTCAGTGCCCAGACACAGGGTGCCATTTTGATGAATTGGCTGGCCACTGGCCACGGCGGCCTCCACTTGGGCCACCAGAACCTCCAGTTGATTGAGGGATTCTGGGATTTCGGGTTACATTAAACACGTGAGATGCTGATGACAAAAACCCTGGTCAGTGACGAAAATACCTTCTTGCTCACGTAGACTATATACAAGTCAGACATTATCTAAACATGTTTTAACGCTGACTAGGTTGATAGTGGATATTTGGGGTAGTGGCCGCAGTTTGCTCGGAGACAGTACAGCAACATTGAGTGAAAACACAAGCACATGTGCGACACCTCACTGGGAACAGGCTGTCGTCTAGAGTAGTTAAAGCTAGTGCTCAAGTCTTGGGGGCTCGGGGTCGAGGCTTCTAAAGGGCTGTGTGCTAGTACAACAAGTCAACAGGATCGGCAGCTCAAGCGGAATTCCGTGAGAGCTCGTTGCAACCATGTGGAGCCTGTCGCAACTCCAATCAACGGACATAACGTGTGGGCGGGGGTCCTGAACTCCCAAACCCATCGAGGGCCAAAAGCCCTACTGTAGGCCTGGGCGGCACAAAAGGCCCGAGGGTGTGCCGCAAGCTGCACGCCGACAAGGCGCGGGAGCTGAGCGCCTCGAAGCGCTTTGGGCGTCGGGGCTTGGAGGCTTTTGCAGCGACTCGTGGCAGGAGCAGTGCTGTTCAAGGGAAGTGAAGGGGCGCTTGAGGTTTTCTATAATCTATATAGCATCGAATGTTTCAGTGATTGGGTTTAGTATTGTTCAGTAAGGTTTCAAGGAATGGAATCTGAGACAGTCTTGCTCCAGAGCCTTAGAAGCTAATTATGGCTATGGACCCAAATCTAAACACGCTGCACACCCTGCGCCTTGCATGCGTGGAGGATCATAGGACTAAGCATGCAAGGTTTAACTGCCGTAAGTTGGGTAGTACTTGATTCATTGAACGTCGAAGTACCGATACCGAACTTGTATTTAATTAATCCTGGTGATCGTTACAAGGATGATTGTTTTTGAAACTCCGCTACCACGCCAACAGTCTCCATGTCGCCGAGCAGCGTGCGCACCGGGAAAAGTACGGGAGCCTTGTCTCTTGTAGCAGTTTCAGGTCGAGCACTCATTTGCAGTGTTTGCCGGATTTGTTTTGCTTCTGTTGAGGAGACTTCGGGGTCTGCGGGCCTGGCACTGTACAACACAAAGCCCAGCTTCGGATGCATCTATGGATTGAAGGGAGCACTCGAATACTAGAAGGGGTTCACAAAGCCGCGATAAGATTATGATGACATTCCTACTCTAGCTGCTCTGGCTCTCTGAACCTCCTTAATCTTAGCGATCATGGAAACTCATCTAAGGAGTTGTGACTCCAGTTTGCGGTACAGCACCTCGTTTCCTATTGGGAATCCGCTTACGGCCCCTGTGTTCACACTGGCTTATTCCCGTTTCGGAAAGTACCAGTGCTATATATGGCTGCTTAGGGTTTCGGGTTTGGGCCTGAAGAACTTTGTGTTTAGCCTGAGGCTGTGGATTTACTATGCATGGCCCCTGCCATACTTTGCCCTGGTCAGGCAAGAGGCAGAGACATTGCGCTGGTGGCTTCGCTGCGGGGGGACACTATGCCGAGGCTGCAAACTCGGTAAGCCGGTTGCCTGCAACTTGTTGATTATCCCTCTTCTCATCATTGCCGAAGCGGTTGTTTCGTTGACTGGCCTACATTGAAACGAAAAGCCGAAAGCTGCGCCCGCCTTACGAGTTAGCAGTGTTAGTGAGTGCTAGTCGGAGCGCTCATCCGCTGTTAGCCTGCTAGCCCACACGTGTCGTTGCATATGTGTTCGTTTACTGCTCTGCCATAGGCTTGACAGGGAAATCAAGCAGCGGCGCGATGATCACCTGATTGACCCAGCCCGACCCGGAGCCAAGTTCGAACTTGAGCACCAATGACGCAGTCAGTTAGGCCAACGCAAAATGATCAACGATGAGTACCCTCTGAACAAACAAGCTTCAGAGTAAACAAACGTGGCATGCAGACGCAAGGTAAACATGCATGAAATAACAGGCTGCGCCAAGGGAGTAACCGTTGTCACAAGCTAGCCGCGTATATAGTAGTACATCGTCAAGACTCAGACTTGGGCATGTGACTGCGAAATTCAAGCCAGCAAGACACCGGCCACAGGCCATTCTGAAATAAGCAATGTTAGACAACACTGAACACCAATCAGCTTAGAATGGCACTGGTTGAGCCCAAGCAACACTAGCACCGCAGTAACAGAGTCTGAACATTGAAAGAGTTCACGGGCACGGTGTTACTCGGAAAAATGCCAGGACCTACGGAAATGTTCTTTCGGACCTCGTGTTGCAGCCCTCCTGATCACCAAACTCTCTTTCGTTAGCAATCCCCTAAACCCTGAACCTCTGAGGTTGAGGTTGCCGTCACACCCGGACGTTCCAAGAGATTTCTGATCCGCTAATTAGCATGTTTACGACAATAACCCCTAAGGGTATGATGTAGAGTTGAGCATGCCCCATGCCCGCATCCAACCCCCCCGAATCAGCATTAGCAACTGTTCTGCCATAGAGAAACTGACTGACGCTGAAGACATGTTTGAAATTGTGACTGCTGAGACAAGCATGATAGGTCTTAGATGACGGGCTGCTGCAGCTCCCAACCTGCACCCGGAACTCGTCTTCCCGGCTCTGCAGCCGCTCCTCCAGACGCCTTTCGGGACGGTGCTCAACGGCACCTAAAACTGGATCCGCGTGCTGTTGCAAGCAGCGATTCTGAAACAGCCCCAGGTCCTAATTCAAGTGTGAGAGTTTCGGGCCCTACGTGCAAATTCCCAGACTTTGAGCGACGACGACGAGTGCAACGACCCCCGGCCTGGAGACCTGGTCTCTCTCGTCCTCAGCACTACGGGGCCATCCGGGAGCTGCAATCAGGCGCGGTGTTTATCAAGGGGTATAGGGTAATACTCGTTCAGGGGAGCAGGGATCACATTGCTGACCATGGCACTTGTAAGAGAGATAACTCGACTACAAATAAACGTGAACGGTGGCCATCCCAGGTGGTCATCACGGTGGGCACCACCATCGCCAGAAGCATGGTGAATTGGTTGTACATTCGTTTCGGACTTCGAATCGGCTGGCGTGCTAGAAAGGTGGAAGTTCACTTGCGGGCTATTTGGTTCTCGCGTCAGGCAGTGCTGTGCAGTCACAATGCTTCAAGAGGAGATGGTACACCGAGTCGCAGGTCTACGAAAGGTCACGCAACGTAGCCTGCTGTTGAATTGCCAAAGTGCACGCCATGCGTGCCTCAACCGGCCAAATCGTGAGGAAGTTTCCCGGAAAGCTGGAAATAGATGGAAGACGAAACCAAGTCAGATATTGTACCTACTGGCTCTCGGGGCACAACAGAAAAGCCATGAAATTCGACCAGATTCTCAACCGAAAACCATCTATTCCCCATGCCAAGTAGAACCTCAACTTGAACTTGGCCGACCTGAGCCCTCAATCTGAACCCACGCGTCCTGGAGCTGGCTTATCTTCTCGGCCGCCTGCGGATTCAGGGGTCTAAATACCAAAAAATCAAGGTAATCAATGCTGACGGCTGACGAATATCAACACTCGATCCTGCGGAAAGCTACCGAATCAGGATTCACCCTAAGCCATCAGAGCCCACTGTTTTGTTGATGGTACCACCAACAACGTAGTCGCAGGATTTCGGAGTTAGGATCGCCCCGGTCATTACGATCACCCCTACCATCAACACCAACACCATCCTCCTCCTACACCACCTTCTCATAATGATTACCAGCAACTGCAGCAAGGGCGACAGCGCCAGCAGCAATTGCCAACATCAACATCATTGATCATCATCAGCATCATCTTCATCAACACCGTCACTACCATCACCATCATCACCCCATCATCACCCACAGCCTGCGCATGAATGTCAAATGGCGATACCAGTTCAACTTGACAACCTTCGACAAGTTGTTTCTTGCTGATCTTCTCGCAACTGCAGCTAGCTACTACCCTTCCTTTCCCTGCTTGCACAATCCTGCGTACGGCGTATTTTTTGGCTCCCCTTTTGAGCCTCGTAAAACACGGCACGGATGCTTGGAGTCGGAAGGGCTTAGTGGGCTTACCAATATTGACTTCGAACTTCGGGTCTCGGGCAAGGTGGCTCCCGAATCGTCCCAGGCTCCCTGGAACGTACTGTTTCTGGTGTCTTTGAAGCTTCAAATCGTCTCAGCAGGGTCCTTTCGGCCTTCGAGGATTACATGAGGGCCGATGATCTCAGGAGATTCCCGCAAGAGCACGAGGCTCTCGGATTTTGGCTCTCTGTGCCTCCTTCTCCTTGGTGACGAGACCTGGCGGTTGCCGAGGTCTCGGCAGGGGGGAATGCTAACTGTCGTGCAGATGATGTTCGGGGCCTCGAGCGGCCAACTTAGGTTCTCGCACTTTAGGGCATTCCACCCCCGTCCTTTTTAAACTATAAGGGTTTCAACTAGGGTGACCTTGCTTTGGAGTCTCCGACCCGAACCTGTGACTATTCTGAGTCGGAGTTTGTCGGCTGTCGCTATGGGAAACTTGCAACTAGACCTAAATGGACTCGCCAGTAGCAAGAGAGTTAGCAAAAGCAAGAAGCACCAAAATCACGAGTTCCGCTACTTACTAACAATGATAGAAGTTTTGCGACAAGATGTGCAATTCATCATGGTGGCAATGAAGTGTCGGGACATACATATACAACCTTTACACAGCCCTTCTCGTCTCTGAATCTTGAAAGGGGAACGTCCAGAGTGGAAGTCGCGCCTGCTTCTTGCTGCTGCAACCTGGCAACAGACTCCACCGAATCAAACGGAAGGACAAGTATAATATGGTCTCTGTTCTTCAGCGGCTCCGCATGATAACGAGTCCTACTATATGATGTGGTGTACATACTGACGCACATTACTTTGTCTTCCACCTGGTAATACCCAACCTAAATTGGATGCTATTGGCGTAGCTAAGCTCCAATAATTGGACCATCGCCTTGGGGTGCATAACGCACGTGACCTCAACCCTAGACCCGCACGCGAATTTCAGGTCTTCGATGCCTCTCGGTCAAGCTGGAGATCTGTTCGTCGTGCAACGCCTTCTCATGCAAGGCCTCCTGGTCATGCTCTGGCCAATCACGATCACAACCATAGGAGCTGCCCAAATATGTGGCTTTCGCTTTCCGGTGCTCTATGTGGTTTGTTGGAGCTTAGGGTTAGTCTTGGTCTCCCTATGTAAGCCTCAGAACTGGGCTGTCGCAGCTAACAAGGAAGCTGATGCGTTCAGGACGGGGGTTAGGGGTCTTAATGATCGCTTCCTGAGGGTGAAGACCACCTGATTCTTTCTATACCAGCACCACCACCCCCCAAATCAACTAAGCTCATACCGACATGATATGAAATAATAATAATAATAATAATGACAGAACATAACATAATATAACACAACCTGCCAGGCACATTTGGGGCTCTCCTGCTTGAACTCGGTGAACTTCTCCTCCTGTCAGTTGCGTTGTAGCCCATCGCAGCAAGCAACAAGGTACAACAACTACAACGAAAAGCAAGTACTGCTGCGTACATTGGTTCTGGAAACCTTGGGGTTTGGAGAAGCCGGCATCTTCGGACATGCAACGCTGAGCCGTAGCCTCAGCCTCAGGTTACGATCTGCAGTGTGGGTTTTATCTATGTCAGATCTGGACTGCCTGGCTCACGGTGGTATGTAAAGCTTCTTGTTGTTGGCTTTGTGTTTCCTGTATTGAGTATTTAATCACCGCAAGTCTGTCAACTGATGCTTGCTACGATCACGGCCATAGCTTTTACTACGAATGCCATCATGGCGATGAACTTGATGATTAATAACGTGCGCAGGTATAGAACAACTCTTGAGATCCTGGTTGAGTGAGGAGCTCCGGTCGTGCTGAACTCCAGGCTCTGTAGGCTCTTTTTCACAAGGGACTCGACCGCTGCCCTTACTGCCCAGCATGACAGTACTCATGACTCTGTAGGCTCTGAAACCCTCAACACAACGAAGTGGACATCACCCGCAGCAAGCAGAGCGTTGGCTGCTGGTAGCATGACTTCAGGGACGTTTAGATTTAAGAACCCTCCACCGAACTAAGATGAAGTAAAGCCGGCACCTGGGTGCTCAGCTTCTGCTCGTAAGCGACCTGGCTTGTCCATACCACTTTACCATGTTTGCAGAGTGGTGCAGCTAGGTCAGATTACAAGAAAGTTGGCAAACGACAACAGCTAAGACTTGAATGAATACACCTATGTAGCCTATGCTTGTATGCAGGGTGCACGGTCTTGGGCTCCAGACCCTAATTGCGATCAGTCAAACAAATAGCAATAATAATACGAAGCATTGTTATAATAAATAGTAGTGGTACAGTGCGTCGGGAATCTGGAACCACTAAGGGGTGCAACCTGACCGGCAACTTGGTCATCTTGGTCTCAAGGGTAAACTTTAACTTGGGCTTGTGGGGCAAGATGGCCAAGATTGCAAGATGACCAGCCCCCCCCCCCGCAAGATGACCAAGATGAACAGGGTGACGAGCAAGATGACCGAGCTGACAAGTTTGCAAGATGACCAAGATGACCGTACACATTAAATCTTCGTGGTTCCAGATTCCCGGAACAATGTAATAGTCATTATATATATATATATATTTATTTATTTATTTATTTATACACACACACATATATATATATATATATTTTATACTGTACGTATATTCATGATAATCACAATGATAATTGCAGCAGCGCTAGTGGCGACATCAAGCAGGCCGCCTCCAGGTCTGCGAGCTTGCCCTGCAGCAGCGCCTTCTCCTGGGGATCTCTGTCACTCTGTAGCCGGGGCATTCAGGAAAGGCATTCGGAATTCAGGTTTAGGGATTAAGGCAACGTGAAAGCAACTATCGGTTTCAGGCTGTGTAGAGAATACAGAGAGAGCGTGGCAGACTGCCTGGGTTCCGCAGGACTTTCATCCTGTTTTTATGTATCTGGGGACTGAAGTTTCGGGGAACCCTTGGACCTTGCTCGTAAAACACGGCAAAGGTGCTCGGATTCAGGGCCGGATAGACATTTTTGGCAAGAAGACAACCTGCGGCACTTTCCCTCCCATGGGGCCAGCCTTCTCCGCTGCTTCCGCCTGGCTGCTAAGCTCGCCGCGGAGGGAGGCGATCTGCGGAATCCGGCTTTCCATCTCTACCGTTGAGGCTGCTAGGACGAGGGCAGGCAGAGGAAGAGGAGGAAGAGCAGCAGCAAAGTAGCCATGCCAACGCCATTGTGATGGATTCATTGCTGCTGACTCTTTACGAAGCAACTTGTTGGCCTCAGCCTGTTGCGTTTACTGCAGCCTTCTATAAAGCAATATGTTTGGGCTTCTTGTGATCGTCAGACAGACAGCCAGACGGACACAAACAGAAAGGCAAAGAGAGACAGAGGGTGAGAGACAGGGGACAAAGAGAAACAGATACATACATGTGTATTAAATTTGCATAAGCTGCCTCCTTCCTTCATTTGCTTACCACCTATCTATCAAACGTTGGTGAACCCCAGGCGATTGCACCTGCTCCTGATTCGCCGCCACTTGTCTCTCCTTAGGCGGACCAAGAACTGCTAAAAGTTCGCTTGCTCCAGAAAGCTTTTCCTATATAGGGTTTCGGGTTTAGGGCTCCAGAAAGCTTGCAGTATAGGGTTTTGCGTTAGGGAGTGGGATGCCCCGTATGCCCCTTAAAGGGAGCTGGAACTGATTTGGGGGATCCTGCAACTGGCCCTTCCATCTCAGTACGGCACCCTTATAAACAGGACCCTAAAAGGGACCCTAATTTTGAGAACTGCCCATATACCATCCTTACCTTTTATTCCAACCTCGACGAACTTTTACTTGGCCTCACGGGTCTGAATCGTAATCACCAACCTTTGAAGAAGCCAATGGCCAGAACCCTAAACCCCCCCGTTCTAAACCTCTACCACCGCCCCATAGCTCTGCGCTACGGCGGGTTCTTCGGGTCATTCTGGACTTGGGGCTGGGGTGTACAGCTTAGGCTTTGCAACAATGCATCGCAATAACTGTATAAAACAAATTCGAGGGAACGTGCTGACAGCAGAGAGAGCATTCTGGAGGTGACGATGCAGGAATGGCTCTCCAGCGCGAGGCTTGAGGGCACCAGTTATCACCAGTTAACCCTCGAACTGAACTACCCGCTTAGCCTCCACAAAGTCTGTTCATCCTTAAACGCCAACACTATCTCCTCTAAAGACTTCTTCGAAGTTACTGAGATTTTCCAGTGTCGTGCAACCTCACACCGGCTCCTGTTGATGAAACTAATACTCCCCCTCCTTTCCCTTACACCTTTAACCCTAATGGCTTATGCTTCGGACATGCTTCCGACCATTTTGGCCGGAGTAAGAGTCTGAGATCGAGATTGACATTACATTGTAAGAGTAAGAAGCCTTGGAAGTGAGACTCTGCCCCTTTTTTCTTCGAGTTGATGGGGAAGCCTACCAGTCAGAGGCTGGGACTTCTGGAGCTCAGGAAACCCAGAACGTCTGCTACAAGGGGTAGTGCTTCAAGCGAAAGCATCGGCATCAATAGAAGCAGACGCAAAACTGATAAAGTCACCATCAACGGCACTACGTTGATGAAGGTGCATATGAGTCACAACAACTTAGACTTAGAAGAATGGCGAAATCGTGCCTTCCTGTTCCTGACCGGCGTTCCGAGGCAGACCGAGTCTAGAAGCTCGTAGAATTAAGCAACACCTGATGCCCAACGAATGCTAGCTGCTAGGGGTGCCAGAGTTGAGTTTCAATGGGCCGCCTTTTTGCCAGAGACATGCGGGAGCAAAGATCACCCCAAAGCCAGTCCGAACTGTGCTGCTATGCAGGTAAACTCCAGCTCCCTCTCAGCTCGAGGGCTCGAATGGAAGACGGCTTGGGGCTTGGGATCTAAGATTCCGACCCTTTCAAAACTTGAAGGCGTGATTCTGGAGGTTCGAGTTGCGCAGAATTGTGAGGGAATGCGTTCTGAAGACTCTGGAGGCTTGAGTGTAGGACCTATACGTTGATCTTGCGAGCCCCGGCAGCCCCGGCAAGCTGCATCCGTGCACTGTCCGTTCTGTAGCATTGCTACTGCCGGGGCCTCTACGATTTGAGCAGGAATTTGGGTGTATATCATGGTGTAAAACTACAAGGGCGTCTTATTCCGACCTCTATCTTGTTTGCCGCAACAGGTGTCGTAGACATGGGCCAGTGCACCACCACAAGCAGAAGCCGGAGCAGGACGTTTGGCTTGTGTCCCGAACAACAACGTGCAAGCTTGAAGCGGGTGATTTTCGGGATGCGAGCTTGGCCAGCGGCGCTTTGATTGTGAGTGCTCCTCTGCTCATGAAGAGGCCGGCAATGTCAGCTGCTGCTATGGTTAGTGTTGGCGACTACCTTGCCGGCTCCATACACATGTCTGAAGCATGCATTGCAAAACAAGTGATCAGTATGTTTTTTGCCAAAAATTTTTTTGCTGTCACACTCCTCAGCTTAACATCGGCATGGCAACAAATAGGCTGACGATTTTCATCACGATCGAGAGTAACGCAGGCGTCGTCGACCATGTCTTCGTCCTCCTCCTTTTCGCGGATGTCGTCGTCGGACTTGCTAAGCAATGCGGGTGGTGCCAGCCCCTGGAACAGCTTCAGCAGGACTTTCAGAGTGAGAGGGAGCAGGCTGCCTGTGATTGTGCTCTTGGCTAAATCGGTCTGCAAGCCAAAAATGTCGTGACACGTGCAGTACGGGTGTCGTCGTCACATGGTGATACAGCTGTTCACATGGCTTGTGGAGTTGTGCTGCTGGTTTGACTCTCAATGATGCACTTCCCGGAAGTGCGAATGCTCGGCTGCGATCGCCTGAAAGATGATCATGACACTGAGACTACTCTCGGTCGAAAGCTGGAGTCGCGACTCTCGCAGTTGAAAACGACATCAGGGTCAGCCATAGAGAGCACGAGCATCACCAGAACTACAAAGAGCAAGACCACCACCAAGGCCACGCCCATGCCATTGTTTCCTGATCCTCATGCTTGCTGCTCCAAACGTTGGAGCATGTGATTGTTAATTGTTGGTTGCTTGATTGGTTTCGCTTTTCTTTTGCATGTTGTAACGTCCATTGACGGCTGGGGCTGCGCGGCACATTGGCCAAATCGATACAGTTGCGTTGGCTGCGGCTGCAGCTATTCTTACTAGTGTGACTGCTGCTATATGTGCTGTTACACGCTTACTTGTATCACTGTACTTGTACTGACACTGGCTATTGCGAACATCAACAATCAATCAGGTTCAGCGTGATTCCGACCTTTGTTGTCATCACCATAGCTACTTCCGATTACAGCTTCTGGTTCCTCCATATGCAGTGTGTCATGTCTTCTGAACCGTGTACAGACAGGAAACTAGAAACCTGTGCTACTGGCTGATTCTAGCTGCCTACCTGCACCCCGCTTCGGAGCCGTCTTCCGGCTAAGAACATCTGGTAAACGTAGGCATGGGGACCTTAGGGGGGATCGTTAACCCCGAAAGCTCGTTGACCAAGCTCTGAACCTCGGAACCCCGGAAGCCTGGACCTGAAGAGATAACCCCAGAAAACCCTTCCCTGTCCGCCCCCCCTAAGGTCCCCGGTAAGTGCCCGTCGAAGTCTTCAGTGATCTGCGTGATTCGACCTCAGAACCCGCATTTGCCCCGCAAACGGCGCTCGATACCCGAATTCGTCGAGCCTGCATGGATCAAGTAATCCTAGCCCGCAAGAACACAGAGCTCTACAGGAAAGTCGCCTTCTGCCAGCCTTCTTCAGGGGCCTAATGTCCTGTCCCAAAACCCTAAACCCCAAGACCCGGAACCCATTCATCACCCGAAACGCCCATTGCTTCGAAGCCTTGGCCTCGCAACCCGAAGCCCGAGCTCTCACTCAAGGCCTGGTCTCTGGAGAAGGGTAGCCCCACCAGATTAGGGTCCCTTGTAGGGTTCCTCAAAGGGATATCTACAACGGCTTTTCTTTAACGGTTTCTCATGGTAACGGTATTGTATGGGTTACACGGTTCTAGGGTTGAATAGGGGAACTTCTCTAAATGAGGGTCCCTTTTAGGGAGGGTGCCGTACAATTTTGGGGACTTACAACGGGACCCTAATTTCGAGAACCTCCATGAAATGCCAAGGCTGCAGCTGGTCGTGTGCAGGGCCTCCTGAACGGTGGAGTGCTTTGGATTCAGGCCACAAGGCTTCGGCTTTGAGATGTCGCGCGCATGGCTAGGCCATGAGTGGAAAGCACATGCGGCCCTTAGTTCGCAGGGGGGCCCTTCGATGGACATTGAAGTCGGAGCTGTGGGTGCCAGTTTGTGGCGAGCTCGTCGGCCTGATTAGCTTATGCAATGCCTAGATGTAATGGACCGCCGCCGCCGCAATGAAATGTGACAGGCCGTTGAAACCACCCTCTGCGACATGGACATGCAATGGTACAGTCCATGACTAAACACACGACTACCCGACATCACCACAGGGGTTGCAAGGTTAGGGAGCAAACCAATCTGTGACATCGGGGCGGGTCTCCGATCCAATTCACCTTGACTCAAGCTTTCATGTGCTGAATCCTGTTTTGGGTTTAGGGCGTATAGGGTTTATCCCAATAGGGCCCCCACAATTATTAGGCAGAGAACCCTGCCATCCCCAAAACGCCTGAACTCTTCCCCGCCTCTTCCAACTTTCGGTCGCATTCGGCTTGAACGTCCTCGTCAGGTGCAAGTTAAGTCAAACACTAAACATCGGCTTTTGGCATTTCGACCCCTGTGATCTGGCTGTTGCCCAATCTGGTCTGCAGGTTGGTCAAAGCCTCATTCCCTTGCCCCCGGCCCGAAAAAATACGGGATCCTGACAAGCAGCTGAGGTCCGACTACAAAACACGCCGCCCCCCACCCCCACCCCCTTCACCCGGCCTCCAGCAGAGAAGAGAGCTGCGCCTTGTCGGCCTCGAGTCCTTGAAGTTATTTCACGGATTTTTTTAGCACTCGCACTCGACAAGCAGGCGAGGGTTTGGGACTTCAGGGTAGCTTCAAAAGCTTGGGGCACATTAGCCCTGCACATTAAACATGTGCACCCCGACCAGGAAACCTAATCCCGAACGGGAAACCTACGTAGCATGCCAACTTCAAGTTTGCATGGGCCGGACTGTGTGCAGTTGGAACGACTGCGCCGAAATGATGAGTGCCAGCGGAGGGGCTTTTCGGACCTTGAGTGCTGCAAACGACAAGCCGGCCACATGCCAAAGTCTGGACCGATTGTGCAGCGACGTGACTTCTGCACTCGGTGCGCAGAAAGCGCAGCCATTCAAAAATGAAGTGCACCATCAGTTTCGTTGCTGCCGAAGTGTGCTGGCTGCTGCAAGCGGACAGCTAGGTGCTGCGGTATACAGGAGCCGCAGGCACGGCTGGAGGCAAAGCCCGGAGAGAAGCCAAGGCCCAGAAGCGAGCCCCTCAAGCCTCCTTCTGACGGAGTAAGGAAACGAGACGAGTTCGAGCTCAGACACGCCACTCTCGCCGACGTTGATGCTTTTGACGGTGTGATTGGTCTTCAGAGCGTCTGCCAGCGCCTTGCAGCCCTCGGTTCCGATGTTGTTCGAGTACAGGGAGATGCTTGTGATGGTGCGGTTGACCATCAATGCATCTGCGAGGGCCTTACCTCCCTGGGGTCCGATGTGCATGTGATTGAGTTCGATGAAGGTGATGGCAGTGTTTTTCTTCAAGGCCTCTGCTAATTCCTTGCAGCTCTCATCTCCGACAAATTCCGGTTGACGAAGATGCTCGCGATAGTACGATTGACCCTCAACGCGTCTGCTAATGCCTTCCAGCCCTCGTCTCCGATGTAGCTCCCTGTGAGGTCCAAGGCGGTGATGGCACGATTGATCTTCAACGCATCTGCTATCGCCTTCCAGTCCTTGCCGGCAATGAAGCTCAAGGCGGTGACGTTGCTATCGGTCTTCAGTCGGGATGCGATGCCCTTGATTCGCACTTTTCCCGTCCAAGCATGGATCTTCGTCGCATCGACCCCCTGGCAGCTTCTGCGGAGTCCGCGGTGGACCTCCGCGTCTTCAGAGCCTCGTCGATCTCCTTGCGAAGCTCCTCTTCGATATTTGTTTCTTTCGGGTTTGATGCTGGCGATGCTGTCGTTGGACTTCAGAGCTTCTGCGATGGCCTTGCCGCCCTCGGCTCCGATGCCGTTCATCTCGAGGTTTATGCTGCTGATCGTCGTGTTTGTCTTCAGAGCATCGGCGACTGCCTCGCAGCCCTCGTCTCCGACGTTGTTCGAGCGGAGGTTGATGCTGGTGATGGTGCGGTTGACCATCCATGCATCTGCGAGGGCCTGGCTGCCAAGGGGTCCGATGCGATTCCAGTTGAGGTCAATGCTGGTGATGCCGCCATTGGTCTTTAGTGCTGCTGCAAGCGCCTTGCATCCCTCGTCTCCGGTGTAATTCCGCGCGAGGTTAAGATCGGCAATGGCAGAATTTGTCGTCAGTGCATCTGCGAGTGCTTTGCAGCCCTCGGCTCCAATGCCATTGCCCTCGAGGTTGACGGTGGTGATGGCTTGGTTGGCTTTGAACGCATTCGCCAGGGCCTTCCAAAGGGTCTCGTTGTGATCCAGAGCCTGGATCTCGCGCTCTGACACGTTCAGCGCAAGGGCCTTCTCGTCGTTCCAGAGGGCACCGCCCTGAGCCCGAGCGGACTCAAAGACCTTGAGCTTCAGCTCCGTGATTGTGCTGTTCAGCCCGAGGGCCTTCGCGAAGTCCTCGGCCTCCTCATCCCCAGCCTCGATGTTGCGGAGGCGCAAGACCTTGAGCTTCTCGTAGTGTTGCAGCGCTTTGGTCAGCTGGCCCAACTCGCCCCGCGGCAAGTTTGCCAGCATTGCCTCTTCGCAGACCGAGACTTTCTGGTGGAAAATCTTCTGCTGCAGCTGTAGCACTGCTGTGGCATCGTTTCGATGCGTGAATTCGGCCTTCCTCATTTCTTCCTCGAAGACCTCTGGAATCATTGGGACTTTGCCCTGCAGCGGGGCTCTTTGGCCCTGCCGGGCCAAGATTTGCCGGGCAAAGCTTCCGTTCGGACCTGCTCCTGCAAGAGGACCACTCAGCTTCTGCCTTACACCAACCTCTGCTCCTGTAAGGGACACGGTTGGCGACCCCAAGACCGTCAGAGGGCGCCCCCTCAAGGAGCTGGTCGCTCCTTGAGGGGGCACCCTCTGACGGTCTTGGTTGCAGCATCATAGACCATCACCAGGTGCGCCGAGTTCTGCAGCACGCCGTCCCAGACATCGTCCGGGGTGAGAGCTTCCAGTCGAAAAGTCCAGTTGCATTCATGTGCATACAGCACATGCATGTGGCTCATGGACCGTCGGAAGCTCTCCTCTTCTGCAGATGTCTGCCGCGCGAACTGAAAGAGAGAGACATAGTCGTAAAACACCCAAATCTCTGGATAGTAGGCGGCATCGTAGAGAGACAAGCAGTCGACCAGCCGATTCAACTGGTCGCCACAAGGATCCGGGTGCTCACGCGTTTCCCAGGCATGCGAGATCGAGATCATCATCGCATCCCGCGCTCCCGCGGCCCACTCGCTCACCTCTTCGTGGCTCACCAGACCCCACTCTTC